GGATTGGGGGGGGGGGGGGGGGCGGCCCGGTCCAGGGCCCCCTCCCCCTTTCGGGAGGTAAAAAAAAAAGAAAAAAGAGAAAAAGAAAAAAATGATGGCCAAGAATGCCTCGAATGTTATGTTTGGGGGTCTAGAACACAAAAATTTCGCGGGGGCATGCCCCCGGACTCATTACGACAGTGTTGTCTCAATCGGCCGAACTTTCGGCCCCCCACCCCTTTTTGGACATTTCTGGATCCGCCCCTGATAACACCTGTAAATGTCTAGAATGCTGTGGCTTCCGGGGCTTCGCCCCCTGGATCCCCACCGTGCCTTTCCCCTGGACCCCACCGGGGGCCCGTGGCGGCACCCTGGCCCCCACAGCCAATGGTTCTTGCTTCACTCGCAAGTGCCCTTTTAGTATCAAGAAGAACCCCCTATAAAAATCCTGTAGTACTAGAAATACTCTGAACTAGCATTGTTTTAGTTACCATATGAGAGTTTCCTGTGTTAAAAACATGATTTACTATACTATACCTCTTTATAAAACATAACTTGTACTTTGTAATAAGAGAAACTGTATATTATCGCTACTTGGAACAGTAACAACACGGAAGTCCTATGCTACTGCACTGTAATGCATTGGCCTATTTTAATACACTACTAAGATAGGCTTTTCTTTTTCAATCTTGATTTCAGAGGTCAACAAAAATTTTCAAATTTTTTTTAATCATATGGTGGTGTAGACTGGTCTTTCAAGAACACTTTCCTGGAAAAAGTTTTTGGATACGACGCCCCGTTATGGAGTTATGATTTTTTAAATAACATGATGTCAGAAAATCAGCCCAAAAGCTTATCTTATTTCTGTTGGTTACGCACCGCTGATTCGCAATGTTTGTCATCATTTCAAGATGTCTACCGATTCGTGAAAAAGGCCTATTGTACTCCACAAAATTTCTCAGCCGATACCTCGCACAACTGGCTAACGTCTCTATCTATTGTCGTGACGTCATGGCTCGCTGGCTCACTGTTGTGATATGTCTCGCACTTGTGATCAAATAACACGCTGGCTCGCACTTTGGCAACACTCTTTGGCACTCAACTTGCCCCTAGAAAACCCGCCCTTGAAAACTTGCCCCATAAAAAAATGTACACTTCCTAGACCATGCAGTCTTCAAAATAAAAATACATACATAGAAATACATAGACATTTTTGAAACTTTATTAAAAAAAACTTTTTGACAAAAATGAAAAATTATGACTTTGTTACCCAATGAGAAGTGTTCTAATATAGACAATGGGTCGTGTCTCATATTATTTGTTATAGTTTTATTATTCATTATTTTCACTTGACTCGCATAAATAATTTTGTTCGAAGAACATTTATATGCAGTTGTACTTCGCAGCACTTCACTTGCAATTTGCAATTTCTAGTTGATGTTATATATTGTTCTAATTTTGATAAAATATCAGATAGTGGTGTAATTCATGTCAGTTTAAGTGACCCCTCTATGATATATGCAGGCTGGGGTAAGAAGAAACATAGTAAAATGAACATAGTAGATAAGCAGAGAAACAATCAAAATCACAAGTACAACATTTCTCAAGCCTATTCTAAATTAAGAGAAGATTTTTTTTCTGTGATTTAAACAGATGCTGTGCTAATATATGGAAATATATAAAGACTAGAATAATTAGGAAAAAAGAAAAGCATTAAAATAAATATATTTAAAAAAATGAAAATTCAAGGATAAAAATTGAAAGCTAGTGAACAATACAAGTTCATTCATAAAATGGCATAGACAACAATATGCCATAGACAAACAAAAAATTAATTTAACTGTACTGGAGTCTGGGATTAGTGATTATTTGAGTCATTTATAATGTAATATATGCAATACCCTTTCCTCCTGACTTTACATGTTTGAAAAGAATAACAATCAAGTAGCCTTGAAGGTTGGAAAAATTGTTTTTAATTTCTCATTTTTATATACTGTTAATGAATAATATATTCAGCATTTTTCCAATTTACTTTAAAGAGAACTGTTGAAGACTGTTCAGAAATTATGGAATTCGTGATCGAGAACCTGCATCCAGCCACAACATATGAAGTTACCATTCGGGCAATTTTCGAATTTTCATCGTCGGAAGCGTGGAGTGATTGGTCTGATGACATTGAGTTGTTAACTAATGAAGAAGGTAACACAATGCCTATTTACAAATTCTTGATGTATTTCAAGATATAGTAAAATTATCTAAATCATTTCAGTGTTGGTACAGGCATTTATAATGCGCATTTTCCTCAAGGTTATAAAGCGCACGCGAAGTCTCGCTGGTCAGAGGAAAAATCAAGGCAGCATGTACTGCAGCATTAAACGCCCATGGCAATTTCAAGCGCCACAATATTGTCTAAACAATTAGCAACAAAAGCACCACACAGACAACAGGCACACATTCCGTAAAATATTAATTGGAAGTATAGTACTAGGTAAACAATTGAATCTTGAATGCACGTTTGAAGACATTGGGTTCTGAAATGTCCCTGAATTCAGTTGGGAGATTATTCCAGAGTCTAGCAGCGTGACAAGAAAAAGAAAAACTTGTGATTCCCTTACCGTATTATGACGTGTGGAACAGTAAAATGTACAAAATAAGCAAATCTTGTCAAAGAGAAAGCAGATAGACACAAAAATTATTAGATTTAGAATCTAGGAAGGACAAGCAGGCAGAAGGAAATGTGCTGAGATTTTAAAAGCATATCTCTGTTTGGTACAACATGAACAATATGAAGAGGAAACATTGTGGAGTGATGCATAGAACATGGATGAACCTAGATAGAAAAACTTTTATTCCCTCAGAGTGAATTTCCCAATTATTTTTTACTTAACAATGGCTCTTAAGTTAATGTTTTTAGGAGTGTCCTTAAATCAAGGACTATTACCAGGATAGGAAGCTGGCTAGTTTAAGCCGTCTTAACTTGAATTAGCCTTATATGTGGTATTGTTATGGTAATGAGCCAGATAAGCACAATCTGCACATGCTCAGAAAACTTTCCTTTCCACACTGTGGCCCGCACTACGTATCGGCTAGGCGTACAGCTAGGCTTCCCAAGGATTACAGTACGGTAAAACAAAGAAAAGGCATATTAAAATCAAAAATTGGCATTTGTGAGCAATACATTTTAATTTCATATAAGTAAGTAGTAAGTATATGAATAATTTTAATGCACTACAGTTAGTTGATAACTTCATTATAATTTGTTTTGGGTCTTTTTTCTGCATTTTTATAAGTGGTGAGACATGGCCTAGGCTAGCCTATGTGATGTTCATTGCTACAAAACAAAATCACATCAGTTGAAAATCAAATTTGTGAACATACTTGCTTTATATCTTAACTAGCAGGTGATTTTATTGGTAGATTAGTTTGTTTTTAAGTGTGTAAGTATGATTGATTTGCATGCCAAGTGAAATTAGTACCCTTATTGCTTTTTGCGTATTAATTGATTGACCCATATATTGCTAATTATTTCAGTTCCAAGCGGTTCGGTATCTCATCTTCGGAAGACGACAGAAAACGTTGATACCGAGAATCCATCTCTAAGGAAGTTTTACCTGGTTTGGGATGTACGTTTTTTTTTTTTTTTAGTTCCTTCTACTATGTGTATAATTTAACAGCTATAACTACAATTTTCCTACCGTAAATGTTATTGTTGGAGTGTTAGATCTCACTTATAATAAAAGTTATTTAACAAAAAGGTACTCTACCGGCTAAAATTCCGCATGTTCTCAATTTTTAATACAGACCAGATATAGATAACGTGTGAATTTCTGGAGCCATGAGTATTTATCCACCCGGTCCCCACCATGTTTATAATGATTTACACTTTACTGGGTTAAAAAAAAAAGAATAACTGTCACAAAGTTTATGATACAAAAACTTGCTTAAACACTAGTATATTATAAAAAAAAAATTAATCGTACTGTAAAACCTTGAATGGAAGCTCAATGGGCCTTATCTCGATAAGAAGCCCATCTCTAATTGAAGTCCCCTCTTTAGTTTGCAAAGGTAGCCATGAAAAAAAGTTATGGGCTTCTTTTCAAGGAAGCATGGGCTTTTTTGAGATAGTACAATATATACACTGTACATGAATTTCAAAGAAACGAAATAAATTAAAAACATGCTTTGTTTATACAGTAAATTAGGTGATTTAGTGCCGGTTTTAATACACTCCATGATAAAAATTTATGTTATATTGGCCCTATTTATTGTTTTATAGTAGATCTGCACAGTAAAGTAAGATGATGACTCCAAAAATTTACAGCATTAATTTTGAAAAGAAGCCCCCTCCCCCCTTCTCTTCACTTTGCAGAAGTAGCCTTGAAAAGATGTCCATTCAAAGTTAGCCAAAAAAAAAAAATGAAGCCCAGGGCTTCATTTCAAGGTTTTACGGCACTATATTAGTAACATAGTATGTCTATGTCGGTGGTAATGTCATAATTATTTACTCCTGCATTATTATTTTACTCTCAGGAAGTGCCAAAGGATCAGTGCAATGGTGCCATTCTTGGGTATAATATATATATTACGGAAGATGATAGATTTCCAGACAGGCCAACGTATAATGTGTCAGGCAGTAGAAGGAACATAGAAATCAGTGGTAAGTTCAGACAAACAGCATGCATTGCCAATCAAACTATGTACCCCTGTTATAAGAGCATTTGGATTTGAATTATGATTTATGGGTAGGAGATATACCAAGGATAACCCAGGACAGTCTGACTTATTTCCAGTAGTAGCAACTATACATGCGTTGAATCATTCAGAACAGACACTTAAACCTGCAGTATGGCCCATTGAGTATGTCTAAGGCTAAAGGCGCTTTATATATGGTTTGCCTAATAGTCGTAACTATTGGTTTGGACCTTGAGAAAGGCATTTTTTATACATCTCCATTGGTTATAAGCCAAGGAATGCACTTATCAATACATGCCCAATGGAGTGTTGGTGGGAAAGGCACATTGCTTATGCTTGCCTGATGGTTGTGATCATTGGAAAGTTGCTTTACAGTAATGTTATCCATAGTCTACTAATGGTTGCATCTTTTGGTATGCTTTCCTTAAAGCCCTGGGATATGAATTGTAACTGGTAAATTGTGAATGTTTCAACTTGCATAATGAAATTGGTCTGTACAGAATTACAGACATAACTAGTAATATGCCACAGGGAGGAGGCTGCATGTTATATATGAAGTTTTTTGTATCCTATCATCAGGTTTGTAATAATATAAAAATTATGTGTCTCAAAATAGAATTCAACATCCTGTAAAACAATTGCTTCTAATTATTTTTAGTTCCTATGTATCTTTGCAATTGGGACTTATGTAATATAGACCTGCACAATAGGGATCTAAGCAATAAGAGCATGTGCATTAGAAACTGCTTGTTCTAATTTTGTCAAATTTTCTTTTCTTAGTTGATCTATTTGATACGTTCAGAATTTATGTTGTGGCTTTTAATAGCGCTGGAGAAGGAAAGCTGTCACTGCCTCTAGACATCTATGATATGACTCGCAGTAAGTGTTATTTGTTTCTTTAAGATATTAAGATGGAACATATAATGTTGTATGGTACTTTAGTTGCTGAGTTACATGATTAATACGTAATTTTTTTGTAAAATTACATTGTTTCTGCAAAATATAAAATATAGCAATAAGTTTAGTGGTGGAAAGGCTATATATTTTTAATGCGAATTGTCTATAATTTTTATGTCAAATTTGAATATAATGCTTTTATTTCACAGTTCCTGGAAAACCCGTTAATGTTAAAACTACTGCTTTGTCAGCAAGCTCAGTTCTTGTGGAATGGTCTGAACCAGTTGAGATCCATGGCAGGATTCTTTTTTACATGGTGGACTGGAAGAAGACAAGTCGGGATCAAGAATGGTAATATAGTACATTAAGTTGTATGCAGATACATATAGATTGTAGATGCTACCACCATTCCAGAATAAACCAACAGAAATGAAAATACCTATTTGTCCAGAGATTATTATGGGATCATTTCTATTTTTTTTTTTAAAGTGAAGCTTTTTTTTTTGAAGTGAATATAGTACTAAGTGTATTCTTTCATTGTACAATAGGACCCCAATAAAGGAGACACCTTCGAGACCAAAAAAGTGTCCCCTTAATAGGAATGTCCCCTGAATAGAGGTACCCTGTTAAGGGGACACTAACCAAAAATGTGAAATTGTCCCCTTTAGAGAGGTTCTATTTTAAGTCTTTTATATGAAAGTATGCAGAAAAAATATAATAAGTCCCATGATTAGTTTACAACATAACACACAGTGGGCCTAACTGATCAATTTTCAGGCTCAAGAAAAAATGTTCATTTTATTGCTCAAAAGTTGTCAAAATATAAATTTGAATTAAATATTGTTATTTTAGATCTATTGGGATAAAATAAAAGAAAATAGTGATACAATAAAAAGGTGTCCCCATATAGAGGTTGAAAATATATTGATTTGACCATTTTTGCGCACACTCAGAAAGTGTCCTCATCCCATTTCTGTAGAACCCCTATTTATTTCACAGAAAATTGTCCTTTTAATAAGGATGTCCCCTGATTAGGGATGTCCCAAAGGATGGGTTCTACTGTATATAAAAAAAAAACATTGCCTAATTAGGGACCGCAGTCCCCACAGGGATCTGGATCAATATTAGAGAAAGATTATCCATATCAGTTAACCATCTAACAAGCTTACCATATCATTTGAATTTATGTGGATTGTATGATTTTTGAATAATGAACTCTGACCTTCACAGGTTTATTTTTGATAACTTAATTTTCCAATCATTCACAGGAGTACAGAGGAGGTAGAAGGCAGTGAACATAGTTACGTGGTTAGTGGTTTGGTTCCTTACACCCATTATGAGTTCAGAGTTCAGGCCAACAACTCGGCTGGTCTAGGAGCATGGTCTATTAGTTCACAAGTCCTAACACACGAATCAGGTTTGGAACATTCATCTTCTTTTGATTCAGAAGTAAATTCAGAAATATATATGATAATTCAAAAATGAATTAGAAAATTGAGTAGGCTACTGGGAGGTTTCTGGGAAACCTAGGCAGTATCATTTAATAATTTACAAATATTGACTGATCGTGAGGGCAATAGTGAAATCTATTGCCCTGGGGTGATGTGGAGACCGTAGCCTGGCCCAAGGGAAGATAGGCTTTGGTCTCCACATCACCCAAGGGCAATAGATTTTACCGCTCTCCGAATTTAGAGCAGTCAATATTTGTTTTATATACCTCATACATAAATTCTACAATGCCTAAAAAGTACTTACTTCCTAGCCTGTTATTTGAGGCCTAGGCCTACTACCACTACTACTACTGGACTAGCTAGACCTAGGTGATCAAAAAGTGTGTCCAGCTCTTCTTTGCTTATTTCCTTAATTTCAAAAGCACTCATCGTCTTGCAATATTTGTCGAATATTGATAAGGCATATTTAATTTGTCTTTTGGTGCTTTTGCTATCGGCTTCATCAAGAAGTAATGCTAGACCTGGGCTAGTCCTTCATCTCGAAATGATCAGCCTCCATATTTGTTTATCATCTACTCACTGATCCGTGATGCGGTTAATGGCTGATCTCATCGCGGGCCCACTACAGCAGCACGATGTAGTGGGCCTAGAGTTTGCACATCGCGAAAGGTCAAAAAAGTACTATTTTTCAGGGTATAGTACATTTTGAGGGGAATAGTACTTCCTTTTTTCCTGCTTTTTAACCAATCAGATGCCTAAAATTTATGTACGAGGTATATAAACTAATATAGTTAATGATTTTTATAGAATTGTTTACCAAACCATAGAATATCACAGTAAATAAAAATCTGTTGTCTTATGTGCATAGCAATGTAATATTGAAATTTCATGTCTTCTACAATCATTTAAAGGAATTAAAGAAGATGTGAAAAGTTATTGCATTATTTTTATTTATTTTTTTTTCAGATCCAACATCGTTTCCCCAAGATATAACACTGACCACTGTACATAAGAGATCAACAGAGCTTTTGCTAACATGGAGACCACCAGACAGAAGTTACAGTCATGGAAAAATACTAGTTTATAATATATACTATTGTGAGAAATATTCACCTTCAACCAACACCTTTAATGCATCAGATGAAATTGAGTGTGATGGTAAGTGTATGTGATGGTAGCCTAGCTTACAGGTGGGCAAAGTGCAGTTCACGGGCCACATGCAGCCTGATGTCAATTTTTCTTAAAAATATGCTCCTTTGTGTGCAGCCTGCCCAACATCTTTGGCTAAAAAAAACCAGTCTTGTTACTGCCCAACGTCGAACATCTGACAAAAGTGAGGTTATGACGTAGTATAAAAGCAGGGTATGAAGGTATTTGTAAGCACATTGTAAACGTCAAATTTTCAATGCAAGTTGGCTTTCGGCCACCAGTGTGGGATCATTTTAGTTTTCACCTAGCTACTAGTTACTTGGTTTAATATGATGGCAAGTAAGAGTAGGTGTTTGCAGGCCTAACTACCAACATCAGTGTTATGCAGTGTGGTGTCATTTGAAGCTATTGTGCTTGTTCAACTCAATTTTGCATTAATTTTATTTAAAAACTACATGATGGCTACTTTATTTCTCTTGTCAGCTCCTGATGCTTTAAACTTCACGGATGTGGATGAACAAGAGACGGGTGAATCTTTCTACCGATATACTGTAACAGATTTGAAAATGTTCACCGAGTATCTACTGTGGATGTCAGCTAGTAACAGTGCTGGCGAAGGGATTCTAAGCCACAGAGTGTCAGCAATGACTGATGAAGGGGGTAAGTTAAGTTTGATCAAAGAGTATAAATAGAACAAGAGAGCAAAGTCCCGTTCGTAAAAACATCACGCCTGTGCAGGACGCCCACTAACGGTTGTATATTCTTTTTATTACCCAGTGCAGCGCTGCGCAGCACGGTAGAAGTACGCCCGCTATAAACTCAGTAAACAGAAAACAAAAGTACAGTATCTTGTGGAGAACAGATAAACAGACAAACCGACCGTGCGCGGTGGAGTACTGGGTAATAAAACATATACAAGCGTTAGTTGGCGTCCTACACTAGCTGCGTATGGGCGTATCGTTTTTTTACGCTCTCAATGAGCGTTGTTGGCTCTCTTGTTCTATTTATACTCTTTGGTTTGATGTAAAGCTAATGGCCTTCAAGAAGTGTGACGATAGCAACAAGAGATAAACCTAATACAATACCCTAATTTCGGGACGGTCGGCTTAAAAATTGCTTTTTGTTTTTTATTTTGTGTGACCAAGTAATTCCTAAAATGTATCTTCACTTCACAGAAGTTTATTTGTATGGGGCACTCTGACAGTGAAAATTAAATGATAGATGAATTTGTAGAATGCTATGCCCATACAAATTATTTTGATTTGATCTGATTGGTTTAGGATGCTCAATTTTTATAGTAAACAAAACAAATACAAGAAATGTTCAGATTATGGAAGAGCATATTTGGATAAACCTAAAGTTGCAAAAACTGAAAAATATTTTCATAGGGGTTTACTGTATTCCATACCTCTGTCTTTGTATTGGATGTTAACTCTTTGATTTTTGCATACAATTACTCATGTGCATAGTAAAAGAACTTGGTACACTACTCATTAAAGCCTGTTCATCATTTTGACCATTTCATATACTTTATCTCTTAGCTCCAGAGAAGCCAGATCCCCCAGTCAAAGATGAAGTCCAGTCGTTTTCAGTTAGCATACACTGGAAAGACCCCCAGAAACCGAATGGCAACATCACCAAATACATTGTCCATTACGGTACATCTACAGGAATCGAAAATTGTATTCATGTGTATGAAAGAAATGCAGTGGTGACAGAAAAAATCTATGGCAATGAGAGATATAACTTTACAGTGTCTGCTTGTAATGATAATGAAGACCCCGATCTTTGCAGTCCTTTTTCCGACCCTCTAATTGTCACAACATTGGTTGGAAGTAAGTTTTTATTTCAATTATCTATCTGGGATTTTCTGTAGACCATCATTCCTATAGCATGTGTCACCATCTGCAACTTATGGTTTGTTTAGGCCGAACACTCACTGCGCTTGTCGGCCAATGTGATTCGATAATAATAACAATAATAATAATATGTTGGTTCTATGGAGAACGCAATGCGATGACATGCGCGCAGTGTATAGTTGTTAATGATGATCCGTTAAAAAAGTTCCTTGGACAACGTAATGAGTAACGGGCCTAACAGATACTAAAGATTGATTGCCATATTTACATAATATATACAATAGTAATCAACAGCTGTTAATAACAATAGAGAGCTTTCGCTGTCTCGTTCGAGAACCAATCCACCGAGAAAGTTACCCATTCTGGTTGCTGTTCTTGTTATAAAAAATAGAGCTTTCGCTTTCCTGTGCGCATTCCCCGGAAAACTAAAAACCTGGTGGCAGCACAGCCTGTTGCTATGGCTGTGGCATGCGCTCGGGCCATGGTGGTACAATGTATAATTGAATGGTATGGAATGGCTAGGGCCTTGCCTAGGATGAAATGCATTGATTATGTGAACATCTGCAAAAAATTTGAGTGATTTTCTCTAGGTAGTATAAAATAATAATTTAATATAGAATATAATCAAATTTTATTGAAATGTTGCAAATACATCCAGTTTCTGGTTCTCGATTCATTGCCCGGGATCCAGCGGCTGAATTTCGGGTTGCGAGTACAAGAAAGCTAGGCTTAAACTGGTGACGTCATGCACAAAAAAAAATATGCACTTTTTTCGGTGGATTGGTTCTCGAACAAGATAATGAAAGCTCTCTAATATATTAAAATACAGAGCATAATATTTAACCTTTTATTTATTTACATAAATTGGCCTTTGACCAATTATTATTTGTACCTGTATGATTTTGTTACAATTTTTTTTTTTACATTGAAGACATCTTTTACTGCAAAGCATAACAAGAGTCAGGAGTGTGCACTAGTTATGTGTATTTCTCTGTGCACATTGTAACATTGTTCAATTCCAACATTTTCATGGTACCACCTTGTATATTTTGTAGTTCCAGAACCAGTGGTTGATTTCACAGTTGATATCATTGCCACCGATAAAGTGGGACTATCCTGGAAGGAACCAGCTCATCCAAACGGCATCATTTCACACTACATCGTGAGTTATCGACCGGAGAACATAACAGATTCAAAGTGGACGAATAAGACCGTGAAGGGTTTGAGTGCGACGATTCAGGTTGATTGTGAGACAGGAGCAACGTTCTTCACGTACTTTGTTGCAGCGGTTACAAGAAACGGATCAAAAGCATTAATTGGTACACCAACCCTAAGGAGGTATGAAATGTGCAGGAAATTTCCAGGTATGTACAGTATATTTTTTTTCAGTCCAAAATCAATTGAAGAATTTACAGGTATAATAAAGGAATACAAGTGGGTACCTGGTAGGTTCAAACACAACTGTTCTGATTACTAGCTGCAATATCATGGAATACTCAGGGAGCTGAGTATGTGTTCCATATGCGTTTGATCCAATGACCGGGGTAATAATTTTATGCATGAAGACCAACATATTATTATTATTATTATTAAATGAAGATCTTGTTTAATTTATAGATTTTTGATAAAAGTGGGATATATATGTGTTCTGTTTGTGTGTTTCGTATTATAATTACAATTATAGGGACTGCCTAGCTACCGCTGTTGGACAAATGAACCTCTGTGAAATGATAGGCTAGATATCTTGCATTTTCAGAACTTTGGTCTTACACCTTGATTAAATTCGCATTTGAGGCATGTTGTGGCGAAATGGTTAAGTTGTCGCACAGTCCAGTATTGAGTAAATGAGCTATAAAATATGGGAGCTCAAAAAATTGCCTAAAAATCCAAATTTGTTTTTCACTATAGATCAACAGTCTTATACACATCTAACGTACATTCAATCAAAAATGTTGTTTTTATCAAATGTAAATGTGATTTAGCTTTAGTTTAATGTAACATTCGATAGATTTGAAGAATATATAGAATTTGCCCAAAAAATTTGTCCAAAAGACGGCCGGACGACTCGCTCGCTAATATACGCATGCACTATCTTGCCACTATATATTTTATATTTCCAGTAATAAATTTATCTATGCTATCTTACCTATGAAATAGCGTGAAATATTTGTTTTATTTAGACTATCTTTAAAATTTTATTTCGTGAAATATTGCACACATGTAAGAAGTGAACACGCCACAGTTTTAAACTGATGGGTGCAGCCATGTTTGTTGTCTTGTCTTGTCTCCGGTCACCACAGAGCATTCCTCCTTGTTTCTTTTTCGCGCTGTGGATGTCTACTTCTAAAGTGATGGAAATACCAATGCGCTGATTGGCCGACTTGGCTTTTTCAAAGTATGAAACGAATACATCGGATCAGAGTTTATGCAGCTACAGGGTGTCTATCTAATCTAACTTAGGCTTGAAATGTCCAATTTGAATGAATGACCCCTCATTTTAAAGATCACATACTCGGGTATCTGAAAATACCAATAACTTGAATTTCAATTTTTGCTACAACTTGGGTTTAAACAAAGACCATGGCTTTCTTGCCCACTACAGGGAATGATTCACTCATTGTTTTGTTCCCCCCTTCTGCTTGTGCATTGTTATGTTAAAGCCCCATTCCCGGCAAAATTTCTTTTTTTAACTTTTTTTAGAAAATATGCATTTGCATTACTCCAATTTTTATAAATCATGGAAAAATATTGGCATGAATTTTAGTTTTACGCAAAAGAATAAAAAAAATGAGAAATACAGACTATTTCTCATAAAATATTACCATTTTCTCGACGAATTCGTCGTTACTAGGCAAATTCAGAGGTTGTAGATCGCATCCACTGGAATACTCTCCCTTTTATTTATACAGTCAATAAAGTGCGCCCTCTCTAATGAGATTAGTTTTTGTACTTCGCATCTCGCACAATGAGGTCGTTCGGTTAGGCTGAGATTTGTTTGTTTAAGTGTCAAAATCTCAGTCAGAATCAGTTTTTTAACAAATTTGAAATAATTCCTGCGAAATATTATATTCACAAGTGCCATACCTAGCAACGGAAAATATCATGTCGGCCGTTTTTATGTGTGATAACAGAACCTAAATCGAGGTAAGGCTAGGCCTAGCCTAGCGGCATTGTATAGGCTAATGTTTTCGGCACCTGCGATATTTCTTCTCACGACCTATCGCAAAATCAACATGAAAAATTCATCCGCATTTATTTTTTGTGTGGAACACAAAAAAAATCAAATTTCAGTCTTATTTTACATTTTCTTCATTCTTAGGAATGTCTAAATTCATTTAAACTAGCAATTCCGTATTATATTTATAAATCTTTATAACATTATACAAAAATTAGATTTTTCTTAAAAACTGAAATTTTGACGGGAATGGGGCTTTAATACCTCCATTGTTTTTATTACTTGTCTTTTGTTTTAGACCTTTTATATTCGATTGCATGTTGCTCCTCTTATCATTCACCTGAAGAAGTGTACTGTGTACACGAAAGCTTGTGACAATAAATATTTTATAAAGTGCTACTGTTTTCTTATTGTTTGAGTATTGCATAGAGAAGTAGCTTTGTTTTATATATTAAAACAGTATGTAAAAATCAATTGCTTCTAATCAGATTTGAATTCTTAATGAAGCATCTGTGGCAGACACAGCAGAAGATCATGTTTGATCTAATATTAATCAACATGTTTATGTTCTATTTTAGTTCCAGTAATCATTATGGCTGTGTTGATCCCAGGTCTTGTTTTAATGATGGCTGTTGCTTGTTTCTACATCATTAAAGTGAAGAAGCTAGAAATCTTCAAACCATTCCCAGAGCCACGGTTTATTGAGGACTTTATTATTAAACCATGGGTAAGAGTGACAGTGTCATTTACAAGAGAATTAGCCTTTTTTGTGTGATATGATCAATAATGTTTTAATAATAATTTACTTAAGGTGCATGGTGTAATGATGTTACTATGCGTGTATCAAACAATTAAAAAAAAAATAACGTACTAGAAAAATAAAAAAATAATCAGCATATTAGAAACTTTATAAAACCCATTACTCATGAGATTTGTTTATATTGCAAAATATATCCACCCTGTAAATGACGAATCACATGCTGTTAAATATATGCAATGAATATATATATTGTTTAAAAAAGATGCAAATAAAATAGTTAATTTTCTACTTGCAGGATGCTCCGTTAAAACCAGAAAAAGAACATTTTGATAAGTTGAAGACATTTAATGATCGGTACACAGCACCACCAAATATAATGCAGGAAAAAATTGCGCCAAAAACCAGTATGAGAATGGATTCTGATCAGGGTTTCGATGAGACAGAAGTGATGGTAGAGATGCCGAGCATTCACGACAAAAATACCAATGCTATTGTGCGCTCTTCCTCCTCAAGTCAGGGCATTGGACGATCGATTGTAGGCCCTGACAATCACCCAAATAATGTAGTAGAAGATTTTGAAGGGGATGATGCTGTTTTTGATCTCCCTGTTGAGACTTGTTTTGACAATGAATATTACCCTATGGTAAATAATCAGCATGTTCTCGGAAATTCTGATGTTAAAACAGATTCTAACCTTGAATCGATCCCAGATGGCAACAGTTATGCCGTTCAAGATGCAAGAGAACCAAAAGATCATACTCTGGTTAAAAGGCAGGATTCACTGGAAAGTCATGGTAGTGTAGAATACCATACAATGAGTAATGATGGGTTAATTCCAATTACTTTAGCCAAGGATGACATCAGTAATTCATCTGAGTCCCTGCCATCCTCTCAAAAACCTGTTGAACTGAGCCAATCTAATGACTACCAATGTATTGGTACAAAGGACTTTTTACCACCTACTTTAAATACATCATCGGTTGATAATTGTAGCACAACTTCTGATTGTCCAGCTTCACCAGACAGCTTTGAATATGGTCTTTTAGGCCATAGTGAGAATGTTCAACAAGCTTTGCTGGTTGTTGATCCCTCAAATCAACAACACAACAATATAAACAAAGAACCTGTTCAATCTTCGAAGTCGAACAGAAATGAACCAGATGTTTCAGGTGATTATGTTTGTAGTCCCACATCACTGACGGATCATGACAGTATTGACCCATACACAGTTATACCTATTGGTGGCTCATCCCCACCACAATCATATAACAGTATGCCATATTCGCAAATTTCAGTAAGACCAAGTGAGGTCAGAGAAGGCAACCTGAGTGATGGTGTGACAAAGTGTAATTACTCAAGGATACCAGAATGCTCTGGGCCATTGACACCACCTGTCAGAACTCAAAATGAACCAGTATTTGAAGTACCAGATTCTGGCATCGATAGTGATCATAGCAACAACAGCCTTGGTCTTGAGGTCATTCCAGTTGAGTCTCCAGAATTTAACACAGATGGTGGCAACATTGTGAGCCTACCAACAAGCTTAGCTGGCAACACGGTTATGCAGAGACCTCAGACTCAACTGGATATCGAGCCTCTTATCATAGATGATTTTTTTGCCCCAACTTGTGAACTTTAGGAAGACCAGGTTGGATCAATTGCATCTGATCAGAGGACCCAAGTTACATTAACCTTTGCCAAATTTGGATGGAGAATATTATTGTGAGCCCAGTGTTGTACTTACGTTGTAACAATATTTGCCTTGTTCCTGAATCAGAAATGAATTGCACTAACTTGAGTTCTGATAGTGTGTGAGATTTTGAAATAAAAAACAATAGAGAAAAAAAATCAATAGACTAGTTTTGCTAAGGACTTAAAGAATGACTCAAATATATCTACTGCACAAATTTTTTTTGGGATCCCTAATTTTGGAATATTTCATTGTCAGCCAATTACCAGGTATGGTATTGAACTGTTTACAAATGCTAGCAAAATGTAAGCACAGGTAAAGGTAAACTAACAATGCCGATGGTTCAGCTGAATCTTGTATGTAGCAGGGAAGCCAGGAATGTCACTATGTGTTACCACTACATGAGGCCATTAAGATCTACATAGACTTGACTTAGATGTATCTTTGAATACCTTATAGTGGATTGTATGAGGAAGCCCCTAAGTATTTTGTTTTAAAATTGAGATTAAGTAAACTATGCCTTTATAATATGTGTTCATTGCTGAATGTGTGTCAGAATATTTAGTAGATAATATTACAAAAAATGCTGTAAATGCGAGTGAGTTAAACTACATCATTCCAATACTAGGCTAGGTCATATATTTAATTAAATTTTAACTTTAATTATCATTAAAATAATAAACTTATATAGGTTTGTGGTTTTCAAGTACTTACAAGTAGTAGAAGCTGACTGATAGTATTACTTTGGATTATATTACATTGAAAAAGGACACTTAAAATGCTTTTTGATAGTCGTCATTAAGGCACCTGTGTGCGTCTAATATACTGTACTTTAACTGTATCAGGAGCTTGTCATTCATTCTAAAAGGGGAGGGGGAGCAATGAAAAGCATGACTGCTAATAATAAGATGAATTGATTTGTTATATCTATTTTTGTATTCCACTTGCTTAGATATTTGCTTTCAGTAATTTGTTGATTTTGTTTTATTTTATTATAACTGACCTTTTTTATTTATAATGTACTTATGTTAAACTGGATGAATGAGGTTCACAGACTTTGTGTTATAGTGATTCAGTTCGCTTTTGTGTTCCTGCCAACTCATCCAGTGTGTTGTACTTGTATTTTGTATGTATTCCACCATTGTATTATACTTTGTTTTTTGTTTTTGTTTTTTGTTTTTTTTGGCGAATAAAGAATAAGAATAAGAATGTGTGCCTACCAAACAATGCACAAGCCACGTTATCAGTTATCATTATGTCAAAATGTTAAATAGTGTGTGAAGAGTAAATCAATGATTGATTGATTGATTGATTGATTGATTGATTGGTATAAAAGGTTCACAAGAGATTATATTATTTTTACAACTGTATAATCACTTTTTTTTTCTTTCAATAGTAAATACTATATTTTTCCCTCTAGTATTTTTATATAATGTGTAAGTAGTTACAATTTCAAATGTTATTCTCAACTTAATTTAATATATCTATCTGGTTTTTACTAATATACATAGACCTGTATACATAATACAAATATATATAGTAGTATATTTACATATATACATATATATAGGATATATATGTATATTCTTAGAAACCAACTTTCTCATAATAACTGAAAGGTCCACCGATTAATCTCAGATAAGAAAGTATGTATGTATATATTATACTTTCGTATCTTACTCTGAGTATTGAAATGCACGACAGCACGATGGTGTGCACTTCAATACTTGGACTATGTTTTTTTACTTTCTCAACTTTCTCATGATTCTTAAGTTAAATTAAAGCCCCATTCTCGGCAAAATTTTACTAAAAAAGATGAGAAATACAGACTAATTCTCCCTGAGATTACTATTTTCTCGAAGAATTCTTCATTACTAGGCAAATTCATAGGTTGTAGATCGCATCCGCTGGAATGCTCTCACTTTTATGTACACTTTATACAGTCAATAAAGTGCACCCTCTCTAATGAAATTGGTTTTTGTACTTCGCATCTCGCACACTGCGATCGATTGAGTAGGCCTGAATTATGTTTGTTTAATTGTCAAAATCTCGGTCAGAATCCTTTTTCTTAACAGATTTGAAATAATTCCTATAAAATATAGTGTCAATACTAGCAACGGAAAATATCATGTCAGCTAGGCCTAGCCTAGCAGTGTTGGATAGGCTAATGTTTACTTACCAATGTTTTCGGTGCCTACTATGTTTCTTCGCAGACCTATCGCAAAATCAAACATGAAAAATCTATTCGCATTTATTTCTTTTGTGGAACACAAAAAAAATTAAATTTCAGTCTTATTTTACATTTTTTTATGTTTAGGAATGTCTAAATTCAGTTAAATTAGCAATATAAATCTTTATAGCATTAGGCCTATATGAAAATCAGATTTTTCTTAACAACTGAAATCTTGCCAGGAATTGGGCTTTAAATTATTTGACAAAGACAAATAAACATTTTTTATACTCTTTCTAACCAACGAATAAAAAAAAACTCAACCGGTTGATGAGTTACATTATAATGAATTCATAACCAAAAACCTAAATGGAAATAATTGTATTATTACTTGTTTCTCGAAACTTATCAGGGGCGGATTTAGGGAGGTAAAAAAAGAAGAAAAAAAGAAAGAAAAAGAAAAAAATGGTAGACCAGAACGCCTCAAATGTTATTTTCAGGCGTCTTGAACACAAAAATTTCCGACCCCCTAGGATTATGTTGTCTCGATCGACCCAACTTTTGGCCCCCCTTTCCCCCTTTTGGACATCTCTGGATCCGCCCCTGCTTATAAACAACCTGTGTGCTGCCACAATTTCTGAAATGAAACGCTTTGGAAATATGTAATATAACTGTTAAGATACAATAAGCGTACACTGAAATGTAACTACAAGATAAGAAACCACAATATTATTAATTTAGATTCTGTTGTGATATTATTGTTTTGACAACTCTGAATCTCCTTGATAATTAGTGTAAGTTATCGTCTTGATGTAAAAAGAATACAAATTATAGTTGGCAAAACCTATGTGAATAATTATAATATTTGAATATTAAACAAGAATTGTATTTTATTCTAATGCATGGTAAGATGGTATGGTTAATCAATATTGGCTGTAATTGACAATGCATCCATATGTTACAGTACTTATTAATGGATTTTGCTTGTATTTAACAATAATCATTTGGCCTTAACATTATTATAATAGTAAATAAATTACAATGCATGTGAATAAATAATATTGAAAAATTATCTCAAGTGAGATTCCTCTAATAGCTAAGTTAGGAGACCAAGTTTGTGTATTCCGTTTAACTGTAATCTCTAAGGACACAGACTCTTTATCCTTGAAGTATTGTGTTCTGTGATACAGAATACCAAACACAGTGAAAATGTGTGTGTGTGTTAATAACAGTATTAATGTTTAAGCCCCTAATATGGTTCGCATTCTAGTACAGTATATGTCTAAAGGCCACATATAAATTCTATATGAAATATATCGTCATAGATAAGTATGCATGTGTTTACTCTTTCAGCTTGGTGTTTTCAAGCAATTGTCTTCCTTGGTCTGACATTGTGTTTCATTGGTCTGCCAATATCCAAATGTACAAGCAAGCCACTGCCGGCGGCATAGGGTATTTAGGGTGGGCTGGTGGCCTTAGGTCCACCCAATAATTTTAGTGGATGCGCCAACCCTTCAGTAGGCTCCGCCAATGATTTTCCCAACAAAATTTTAATATTGATTTTGACATGACAACTGGGCGGTGGATCACCAGTTGGCTGTTGTTTATTGTGGTCGGAAGGTATTATATGATGGCGTTCAGCGACCCCCTGGCCACAGCCTTAGTTTTTCGCAAAGTGCTTACCGGGCCCACTCAACGGTCAAAATGTGCTGCCGTCTATGGAGCAAGCTATCATATCAGTATTATTCCTCTGTATTTAGTAAAAGTTTTTATTTGTATTGGACACTTTATATAACATTTCTTTGTAGAAATATACAGTATTTGTTGCTTTTTTATTTATGTCAAAATTCCCTTTATATATATTACGGGTAGGTAATCAGATCTTGCATCCTTTACTGGTCGAGATCTGGATAAAGGCAAAATAGATGAGGTACGTATGAATGGGCCTAAACTATTTTGTCCAAGTGAAGTCTCCATAAACCTATTTTTATAGAAATTAAAGAACAAAATATTTTTGCATGTAACTAGATTTTGAATTAATTGCTTGACGAATCTTGCATATGGTGATTAACTGTTAATTGTTTTGAATAAAAATGTAAATTCATTAAGAACTTTGTTTACTGTATAAAAGAAAAAAACAAAGATTATATCGGTAATTGACATACAGTTTCTTTATTCAAAACAATGTCCATGCCGAATGTATAATTATGTCTATATTGGTCAAAATATAATTGATAATCAGTAAAAATGATGTTCTTTGTTTTTGTTTGAATTGTAATTAGTGTATGCAGTATCTAATTGGCTTTTCTCACAACAACTTCCAACTTTGTCCAAGCAAAGATCATAAATATCAAAGATGTGCATAGTAACGTCAGTCTAATACTTCTTAGTATTAATAAACTGGCAACTAAATTTTTCTAAGTCGTTTCAAACTTCGCCTTCAATCTATACAATTTGCGCAAGATAGACTAAAAATGAGCTGACCAGCATGCCATAAGATGGTCAGATTTAACTCTAGCTGCAAGGAGAATGGATTATACATCATTGCATGGAATTATTTCAATGCATTACATCAATTCGTTGTATTTCAAAAGATTTTTTTGCAAATGAGGTCCAAACTTGCTTGCCTACCAGCAGCAACATCTCCCATTTATCAGCATGCCCAGAACCAAACATTTTGGTGATTCTTGTCCAGAATACTCGGGCCTAATTTTGTCCAGAATAGGGGCTGAGGGCGCCCTATCCTACGTGTCCAGAATAAGCATAGAGATATATAAGAATAATATAATAATAATAAGAATAAGGGATGAGGTAGACTGGGTTCCAGTCCCTAATCTTTGTCTTAATCAGTTGAAATACTTAAGAATAAATCGATTTTGGCACAAATGGCGTTCCATATTACTTATTTGCATGGTGTTCCATAGTATACTTTTTCTGGGATTGATTCCAATTCTCATCAAAAAAGTTTCTCAACATAAACTGACGCTGGTGGCGCTTTCCGAAATGCGCTAATACTACGAAAATTCCATAAATTAGAGACTTGTGGCAAGTCTAGGGATGAGGATGTCCAAAATACTTACTTCATTTTCTATTTTTTAAAGTTGAGAATATAGGTTGGGGGCGCTCTTTAAAACGTTTTCTGGAAAAGAAGGCGGCTTTTTCGCGAGTACATACTGCGAGTCTACTACACATCGTCGGCGCAGCTGTCGTTGTCGAACGGTAAATCATTATTTTATTTATTTATTTTTTTATTACTTCTAACCTAGCCTAGGTTATAGAGAGGTCTAGCCTCCTTCCTAGGCCTAGCCTATTTTTATGGCTTAGTCATTATGGTATCTGATAGTTTTGGTCGCGGTGTATGGAGCGCCGAAAGTGCGACCGCGAATCGGATTATGACTGGTTGACCCGCCGACAAGTTGAGCCGCAGGCGATTTTTTTTTCCGTACGAAACATTTACATGAAACTCCACTCGGGCCGTCTCGACTGCAATCGACCCGAAAATCTCATATTGCCGAATTAACGAGGTCAAAAGTTCATCAATAGATAAACGTCTACAAAACAACTTCTGAGAGAACGTCGCTGTCTAACTTTTAAAAATACATTGATGTTACCATGCTAATACTAATGGGTCATTTAAAATGACATATAATACTTGATTGTGCTGCACGAGTAATGAAAAGTGTTATTTTAACTTGAGTTACATACTATGACAATTTTAATTTTTTAGTTAGGCCT